GCTCTTGGGGCTACGTGAGCCGACGGAAGCCGGGAAAGGCAACAAGTGCAAACATGTTCAACAACGCAATGGACATGTAATGAAATGCGTAATGTGCGCCTCTTTCAGATGTCTTGGGTTTTTTTTTTTTTGGAGACTTCGTGGGCGATAGCGAAAGCTTTTTAGGCCATCTGGAGGCCATCTTGGGCCGTTTTCGAACTGTCTTGGGCCGTCTTGGAGCCATCTTGGGCCGTTTTGGAGCCATCCTGGGCCGTTGTGGAGCAATTTTGGCCTCGAGGGCGCGAATCCTTTTGCGTGCGCAAACGCAACCCCGCCACCGTGCTTGGGTTGTTGATGTGAGACTTGTGCGGTGATCGTTGGGATCTCTTGGGGGGCTTCTCGCGGGACTCTTGGCGGCAGTTTCGAAGCCTCTTGGGGGCCGTTGTGAGGCCGTTGTGGGGCCTCTTGGGGGCCTCTTGGGGCCTCTTGTGGGCGTCTTGGGGGCCTCTTGGGGCCTTCTGGGGCCGTCTCGGGGCGGAAGGCTCGGATTGTCGGTTCGGGCTCCCCCTCTTGGGCACCTCTTGGGGCCGTCTTGGGGCCCTCTTGGGCTGTCTTGGGGGCCTCTTGGGCCGTCTTGGCGCCCTCTTGGGCCGACTTGGGCGCCTCTTGGGGGCCTCTCGGGGCGGTCTTGGGGTGCCCTGGGACCGTCGCCAACGCCGTGAAGGCCGACAAGTAGTATATGATCAAAAATGTACGTTTTCCCATAGGAATTTGACGACTTTCGGCGCTTCGGCCCTTCTGAGGACTGCTCCTGGGGGCCTCTTGGGCCGTCTTGGAGGCCTCTAGGCTCGTCTTGGGGGCATCTTGGGCGTCTGGGAACGCTCGTTTGGCGCCTCGGAGCCCTCGTGAGCCGTCTTGGAGGAGTCTCGGGGCCTTCTTGGCCCGTCTTGATCCCCTTTTGGGCCCAAAAGAGCCCCGTGGCGCGCTCGTGCTGGGCCCGGGGGGGGGGGGTCAAATCTCCGGTTTGGGGTCCCAGAGGGGGGGGTTAGGGGGGGGGAACTATCTCACACGCCTAGAGACCCACAAGGGGTCGGCGGATTCTCTTTCGACTTGCCCACGTCCAATTGCTGGCCAACCTTGTCGTCGTCGGCGGGAGAGGGAACTTGAAAAGGTTCACTCTCCCGCGTTCGTTTGGGCTGGGGAGGGAACTTGAAAAGGTTCACTCTCCAGCTGCGGGAGAGGGAACTTGAAAAGGTTCACTTTCCCGTTCGTGGCAGGATTGGGCTGGAGAGGGAACTTGAAAAGGTTCGACGTCTCTAGCTGCGGGAGAGGGAACTTGCAAAGGTTCCCTGTCCCCCCCTGTCGTCGGAGTGAAGGGGGAACTTGAAAAGGTTCACCCTTCATTCGCGGGAAAGGGAACTTGAAAAGGTTCACTTTCCCTTGGAGAGGGAACTTGCAAAGGTTCACTCTCCAGCAGCGGGAAAGGGAACTTGCAAAGGTTCACTTCCCCGCGCGTTCCAACTGGAGAGGGAACGTGAAAAAGGTTCCCTCTCCAGCAGCGGGAAAGGGAACTTGCAAAGGTTCACTTTCCCGCGCGTTCCAACTGGAGAGGGAACTTGAAAAGGTCCCCTCTCCAGTTTTTTTCTGACCCCCCCTTTTCCTAACACCGATGTTTCAATGGACTAAGGGGTCACTAACGCAATTTTTTTCTCGGGCGTCGGGGGAGGAATCGCGTTGGCCGGAAACGGAGCTGAGCCTGGCGCGGGCGCTCGATGGAAAACCCTCACGAAACGCTTTGACATCGATGATTGCGGATGACGAGCAGCACATTTTGCAATTTCCCCATAGGGGGATGGAACGCAATGTACGTTTTTCTTTGGCATGCGTCACGAAAACGGCCCCTCGAGAACGAAAACGACGCAACGCCCTATTTTCATTATGAAACAATTAGCATTTGAGAGAGTTTTTCATAGATGCACGTGCCCGGGGGTCCTGGAGGAGGAGGAGGAGGAGGGGCAGGAGGAGGAGGAGGAGGAGGAGGAGGAGGAGGAGAGGGGGAACAGGAGGAGGAGGAGGAGGAGGAGGCAGGAGGAGGAGGGAGGAGGAGGAAGGAGGAGGGGAGGATAGGAGGAGGATAGGAGAGGAGGAGGAGGAGGAGGAGGCGAGGAGCAGCAGGAGAGGAGGAGGGGGAGGAGGGGGAGGGGGCCAGCGCCAGACCGAGTCGTGAGGAGGGGTCGGAGGAGGAGGAGGAGGAAGAGGAGGAGGAGGAGGAGGAGGAGGAGGAGGAGGAGGAGGAGGAGGCGGAGGAGGAGGAGGAGGGAGGGGCAGGAGGAGGAGGAGGAGGAGGAGGAGGAGGAAGAGGAGGGGCAGCAACGTCAACATCGGCGATGTCGGCGGACGTTGCGTTAGCTGGGGGCTAAGCGTGCGAACGTCCTCTCCTCAGGCCGGACGAATGTGTGCGACAGGGAAAGGAGGGGGGTGCGAAATCTGATGCATTCAGAGAAGGGGTAGACAAGGGAGGAAGGTACAAGGAGGATAGGAGGCAGCAGGAGGAGGAGGAGGAGGACGAGGAGGCAGGCGGAGGCAGGAGGATTCAGAGGAGGGGTAGTCAGGGTGGAGGAAGGAGGAGGAGGAGGAGGAGGAGGAGGAGGAGGAGGAGGAGGAGGAGGAGGACGAGGACGAGGACGAGGACGAGGACGAGGACGAGGACGAGGAGGACGAGGAGGACGAGGAGGACAGGGAGGACGAGGAGGACGAGGAGGACGAGGAGGACGAGGAGGACAAGGAGGACGAGGAGGAGGAGGAGGAGGAGGAGGAGGAGGAGGAGGAGGAGGAGGAGGAGGAAAGGGGGGGAATGCGAACTTTGATGCGTTCAGAGGAGGGAGGGGTGAGACAAGAGTAGCCTTTTTACCTTCCCTGACATCCCCGCGGCGTGACAAAATCACGACGGCAGGTTTTCGGCAATTTTCGGCCTCTGGAGGCCCTCACCGGGCCTCGGGAGCGTCAAAAGCGACTCAGGATGAAAAACCGGTCCCAGGGAAGGGGCCCAGACCTCTGGGGACCGACGTTGTGAAAAAAACATTCAGAGGCGCGAGGGTTAAGATCTTCCTTGCTCGGGGGAGGGTTGCTAATGTTCTCCACTTTTTGGGGATGTAATTGTGCCACCTGGCGGAGGGCACCCTCGAATGTTATCCTGTTTCCTCAGCGGAAGGGCTAGTGTTCTTCACGAGTGTTCTTCTGTCCTCGCGCGCACTGTACGAAATCAGATGCACTCAGAGTAGCGAGGGGTGAGACAAGGGTAGCTTTTTTGCCTTTTCTGGCTTTCGAAGAGCCTCTTCGTCGCCACGGCTGGATGCACCGTGAAAAACCAGTGCGTTTGGACCTCCTCCTCCTCCTCGTGTTCCTCGTGCTCCTCCTCCTCCTCCTCCTCCTCCTCCTCGTCCTCCTGCTCCTTCTCCTCCTCCTCTCCTCCTCCTCCTGAAAAAACCAGTGCGTTTGGATCTTGGGAGGGGTCCAGGCACGGATCTAGAGCCGATCTGGCCAGCGCTGTCCCACCGCCTCTCCTCCGAGCGCAGCTGGCTTTGGGTCAGGACGAGGAGGGCGAGGAGGACGAGGAGGACGAGGAGGAGGAGGAGGAGGAGGAGGAGGAGGAGGAGGAGGAAAGGGGGGGAATGCGAACTTTGATGCGTTCAGAGGGGGGAGGGGTGAGACAAGAGTAGCCTTTTTACCTTCCCTGACATCCCCGCGGTGTGACAAAATCACGACGGCAGGTTTTCGGCAATTTTCGGCCTCTGGAGGCCCTCACCGGGCCTCGGGAGCGTCAAAAGCGACTCAGAATGAAAAGCCGGTCCCAGGGAAGGGGTCCAGACCTCTGGCGGCCGACGTTGTGAAAAAAAAACATGCAGAGGCGCGAGGGTTAAGATCTTCCTTGCTCGGGGGAGGGTTGCTAATGTTCTCCACTTTTTGGGGATGTAATTGTGCCACCTGGCGGAGGGCACCCTCGAATGTTATCCTGTTTCCTCAGCGGAAGGGCTAGTGTTCTTCATGAATGTTCTTCTGCCCTCGCGCGCACTGTACGAAATCAGATGCACTCAAAGTAGCGAGGGGTGAGACAAGGGTAGCCTTTTTGCCTTTTCTGGCTTTCGAAGAGCCTCTTCGTCGCCACGGCTGGATGCACCGTGAAAAACCAGTGCGTTTGGACCTCCTCCTCCTCCTCGTGCTCCTCGTGCTCCTCCTCCTCCTCCTCCTCCTCCTCCTCGTCCTCCTGCTCCTTCTCCTCCTCCTCTCCTCCTCCTCCTGAAAAACCAGTGCGTTTGGATCTTGGGAGGGGTCCAGGCACGGATCTAGAGCCGATCTGGCCAGCGCTGTCCCGCCGCCTCTCCTCCGAGCGCAGCTGGCTTTGGGTCCTCCGCGAGGGGCCCCTTCCTCGATGCATGGCCGCCTCGGGCGCCGGGAGACGCCAGGAACATCAGCTGGGTAAGTTGATTCTCCAGCCTTTCCCTCCCCGCCCTTCCCTGGAGGAGGAGGAGGAGGAGGAGGAGGAGGAGGAGGAGGAAACCGAGGAGGAGGAGGAGGAGGAGGAAACCGAGGAGGAGGAGGAAGAGGAGGAGGAAGAGGAGGAGGGAGGAGGAGGGAGGAGGAGGAGGAGGAGGAGGAGCACGGTAGGTCCGTGCGGCGTTGGCGCGGCGGCGACCCCTTCGAGGGCGTTCAAGGTTGAACGCCGCCGGTGGCTCTCGATCGTTCAAGGTTGAAGTATCGGTCACTTTGGGAGCCGCCCGATCGTTCAAGGTTCAACGATCGACTCGGGGTCAGGGCCACAGGGCCGTCATGGTTCATGCGGCGAGTTGTCTCCATACCCGTAGGCTCCCGTAGGCTCCCATACCACAAATCGATGGGAAACCTTGTGTTCCAGGATTGGGCTTCTTTGTGGAGGGCTTCTTATGGCGAAGCTCCCACTGTATCGCCTCGCGGCGGGGTCCTGGGGTCCGAATACTGTGTTTCATGTCGGCGTCCGCCCTAAGGCTCGAGTCCTTCCTCCACTGGGCTGCCCGGCGCTCCTCACTGCCCTGCATGGGAAGAGCGCAGAAGGAGCGCCGGGCAGCCCAGCGCGCCGATGCGCGCGAGGCCAGCGTTGCGGCGGTGCTCGCCGCGGCGCCGGCCCCGCCCCTGCGCGCGCCCTTGCCCCCCGGGGCGTTGCCCCGGCCGGCGGCGCCCGCACCGCCGCTAGCGCCGGCGCGGATGCCGCGGAGCAGGAGCCCGCCCTTCGTGGCGTTCCGGCTTGACGGGAAAGGCAAGGGAGAAAGCAAGGGCTCCGACGGCAAGGGCGACGACGGCAAAGGGGGAGGCAAGGGCTTCGACGGCAACGGCGCCGACGGCAAGAGCTGCGACGCCAAGGGCAGAGCCGGGCCCGGAGCTGACGGGAAAGGCAAGAAGGAAGGCAAGGACTCCAACAACAAGGGCCCCGACGGCAAGGGAGGAGGCAAGAGCTCCGACGGCAAGGGCAAGCCTCGGCTGCTGACGCCGGCGGAAGCAGGCGACCGCGCAGTCCAGGATGGGGCACGCGTAAATGACACCAGGCAGCATGGGCAACCCTTGGTGCGCGACGGCCCCCTTGACAGCCTCGCGCCAAAGGTTGCCAACGTTGCTAGGGGCCATTTTTACGCGTCGCTGACAGGCGGCGAACAAGAAAGCGTCCGACTTTGAGTATGGGCGCCTCTTGAGCGTGGGGGAGCCTTTCAAGAGTAGGGCGGGCAAGACTTTGGTGAAGGTGGAGCTGCGGGTGCCAGAGAAGCCGTGCTATACAGTGAAGCAGTACACGGCCGCCTTCCTGGGCAATGACACGAAGTTTCAGAGGCTTGAAACGGTCGTGACCGAGAAGGAGAAAAAAACTTTGGACGTATATTTGCGGGCTCGCAACGCTGCTCATCAGCCCTCAGTGGTTCTCTTCGTGCGCTTCATCGAGGCCGCAGAGCTGTGGGGCGACATCTACGAGCAGAGCGTGCACGCGTGTAAAACTCTAGTCAAGGGTCTCCGACCAGTGTTTGAGCTCCATCGCCCGTCGAACGGCCCGACGCCGTTCTGGCGCGAGATCATTTAGGTTTTTCGGAGGACCCTGCCCGAGGCGTCCGCTCTCTTCTCCGCTCTGCGCCCGGCGAGAACAACATCAACCCTGGGGTTGCCAGGATCTGGAATTCTGATCCAGATCTGTTCGGGGTGCCTGGATCTGATCCAACACGTTGTTTCTGATCCGATGGCGTCGAACAACCTGATTTTGATCCGACCTGCGTTTTCTGATCCGAGCTAGTTTTTCTGATCCAAAAATGGGTTGGTGCTGCTAACATATTCGCTGGTCTGTATATCTTATGCATGCAACTGCATGCACAAACATGTAGATGATATGCGAATTCCATATATATATAAACATATATATACATATGTATGTGTCGTCGTAAACATGCATGTATGTATATATACACACACATATATATATATTCAAATACACATACACACATATATACATATACACCATTTACATATACACATATATATATATGGTGTAACTATAATACATTCATGCATACATGATGTTATGTACGCACGTGCACACATAATGGGATCATACGCCGATTGCCTTCATGGGCAAGCGATTTCCGCGCGATGATGCGGGCGCACGCGCCGTTTTGCCAATTTAGGCTGGCGGTTTCAGTGGCACGACCCAAACTTACACGCGCGCTGCCCCATGGGCAAGGCGGAACGCTCACGCGCGAGTTGCCCCATGGGCAAGGAGGAACCCTTACGCGCGCGTTGCCCCATGGGCAGGGAAGAACGCTTGCGCGCCCCGTGCCCCGTGGGCAGGCGAGAGCTGTGACGCGATCCACATGCCTTTTGCCGCGTCGGCAAGCTCGGCTCGGAACAACTAGAACAAAAAACAAACAAATCAACAACAACCAACACACGGGTGCGGCTCTGAAAGAATGGCGTCGGAAAGCTGGGCGCGGTTCGAGAAAAAAAAGAGTTGTATCAGGAAAACAATTGCTGCGCTGAGCAACTGGATCAGGAAACTTGGCGCTGCTCGGAAAACTGGAACGGAAAACGTGCATCGTGTAATCGGGCGCTGCTCTGAAAAACTGGATCAGTACATCTGGCGCTGCTCGGACAGCTGGATCATGACACTGGGCGTTGCTCGGAAAACGTCAATCATGAAAGTTGGGGTTGAGGCCCGTCGTCGCCGCCGCGTCGTCGCCCGCAGCAATTTCGGAGCAAATGACACCAAAAAAGGAGTCACAGGAGCCGCCCTCGCGAGTCGTTCAGGCACTGATCGCAGCGGTGACATCCTCCGCGCTGATCCCATATCGCGAGGAGTTGAACGGCGCCCGCGACACGGACAAGCTTCAGAAGCACGTGAATATCATCAATGCCGTGTATAAGGTGATTGGGCATCGGGCACTCTGGCATTTCTGCATTCCCCTCGACCCCTCCCCCATCGCCACCCTCTGAGAATGGGGCGGTGAAGATGAGTGGAGGGGAGGGCTCAACGGCCCAATGGGAGCTCAACGGGGCACGCGTTGACCAATTGAGCTCGCGCCCAAGCTTCAGAAACACGTGAATATCATCAATGCCGTGTATAAGGTGATTGGGCATCGGGCACTCTGGCATTTCTGCGTTCCCCTCGACCCTTGCCCCATCGCCACCCTCTGAGAATTAGACAGTGAAGATAGGGGGAGGGGAGGGCTCAACGGCTCAATGGGAGCTCAACGGGGCATGCGTTGATCCATTGAGCTCTCGCTCCTCCTCGGAAGGCGGAGATCAGGGGCTCAATGGATCAACGCCGTAGCTGTTGAGCACCCGTTGAGCTGTTGAGCCCGTCTGCGTGGCAAGGTGGATTTGCATTTACGGCGGCGGGCCAGGGGAGAGAGGAGTAGTACTCATATTGTGTAATCCCGCCAGCCCTTTGGGCGTGAGTGGTTTAGCGAGCTCTCTCTGTTCTCAACCCCCCTTCTTCCCATTCGGGGAGGGGGTTACCCCTCCCCCTGCCCCCTCCCCCTGGACCTCGAGAGGTCCTTTCGCGGGTGGTTGGAGGGTCCTTTTTCGACTCTTGGGAGGGCTAAAAAACGACACCCCTCACGAGGATTCTGGCCCCGACGGGGGGACTGACAAAAATGTTTGCCCCAGCTGTGATCGATCGCCCGAAAGATGGCCCCAATATGCCTCCAAGAGGCCCCCAAGATGCCCCCAAGAGGCCCCCAAGAGGCCCCAAGAGGCTCCTCCGAGGCACCCAAGACGCTCCTGGAAGCCCCTGGGGCCGCCAAGAGGCCCCCAAGACGCCCCAAACGGCCTCCGAGAGAGGCCCGAAGAGGCTCCCCCAAGGCACCCAAGACGCTCCTAGAAGCCCCTGGGGCCGCCACACCAGGACGAGGCGCCCGAACGACTCGCACCACGAGGAGCCCGAACGACTCACACCACGACGAGGGCCCCGAACGACTCACACCACGAGGAGCCCGAACGAGTCACACCAGGAGGAGGGGCCCGAACGACTCACACCAGGACGAGGGGCCCGAACAACTCACACCACGAGAAGCCCGAACGACTCACACCAGGACGAAGAGCCCGAACGACTCACACCACGAAGAGCCCGAACGACTCACACCAGGAAGAAGGGCCCGAACGACTCACACCAGGACGAGAAACCCCAAACGACTCAAACCACGAGGAGCGCTTTCTCTCCCTCCTCCTCCGCCTCGCCCTTCTCCCGCCCCCACCACAAGGAGGATGTGCAAGGAGGCGGGGGGAAGGAGGAACAGGGGAGATATGCGGGGGCAGGCGGAAACACGCCTGAAAAACACGGCTGTCGGCATGCTTCGCAAGAGTTGTTGTTTTGAGACGGGCTGGTGGGGATGCGCGAAGCGTGAAGAATTGCAGAGGGGGTACGAGAGAGAGAGAGAGAGAGAGAGAGAGAGAGAGAGAATGCCAGAGAGAGAGAGAGAGAAAGAGGGAGAGGGAGAGGGAGAGGGAGAGGGAGAGGGAGAGGGATAGAGAGAGAGAGAGAGAGAGAGAGAGAGAGAGAGAGACCGAGAGACAGAGAGACAGAGAGAGAGGGGGGCAGTTTTGTTGTTATCGTTGCACCGTACTCGAGCCCAGGTGAAAGAGAAACCGCTGGAGTTGGCGTTCAGGGCGGTGGCGGCCCATAACGAGACGCAGTGGGCATTGGGGCCTGAAGCTACCAGCTGGAGTTCGAAAATGTCACGACGGGCCAGAGCGATGAGACGAGATGTAGATCAAGCTTTGCTGAAAGCTAAGGACGGCCCGAAACCAAGCTGGCTGGTGAACTTCACTGAGGCATCGCTCCTGGACTCCGATGGGCCCGAGCAGACGGCAGCAGCGCCCGACGCTGCATCAGGCGCAGGTCCAGCGGTGAACGCCAGCGACTACAGGTGCAAGCTGAACAGGGATGAGCAGGTCGTCTACCGCGTCGCCATCGGCTCGACGAAGCCTTGCGCTAGGGAGGCCAGCAAGCCGCTCAAGATGGACGAGAGCAAGGACGCAGATGACAGTGTCATCGCGTGCTGGAATGACGGCATGCAGTGGGAGGTGCCGAATCTGACGTACGGCATGCTCGCCACTTGGGCCGCGAACGAGGCTAGCCATAGGCCCGTGCACTACACGGTCGAGACCAAAGAGGGCAGTTCGTGGAAGTTGTTCGAGTACCAGGACGGGCGAGACGGCTCGAGCCTCAAGCTCAAAGGCAAGAACGCGCCACCGTTCCAGCTGATCATCACCAGGCACAGCAGCGACGAGAAGGCTGCGGCGATAAAGGGCATGACGGCGATTATCAAGCAGATGGCAAAGGGCAATATGACAAAAGAGCAGGCCGAGAGGGCCAAGGCGCCGTTCGTCAAGGCAGCGCCGAAGGCAAAGGCAAAGGCAAAGGCAGTCCTGAGGAGGCCGTCAATGGCGGAGGAACCTGCCGCTGCCAGCGTCTCTGGTGCAGCAGACGCGGCAGATGACGATGCCGCAGAAGAGGAGGAAGAGGAGGAAGAGGAGGAAGAGGAGGAAGATGGCGCAGAGGAAGAGGAGGAAGAGGACGCAGAGGAAGAGGAGGAAGAGGAGGGCGATGACATGGACGGCGCTGCGAAAGCGAACAGGAAGAGGCCAGCAGCAGCGACTGGAATCGACGGTGCCGACGATTTCGGGCCGAAAGCGAAGAGGCCAGCAGCAGCCGCTCGAGCTGACGGTGGCGATGGCGAAGGAGAGCCCCCATGCAGCAAGAAGCCAGCAGGAGCGACTGCAGATGATGATGAGGACGAGGGAGAGCCCCCATGCAGCAAGAAGCCAGACGGATCGACAGCAGAAGATGATGATGACGAGGGCGAGGAAGAGCCCCAGTGCAGCAAGAAGCCAGCAGGAGCGACTGCAGAAGATGATGATGACGACGAGGAGGAGGCCCCATGCAGCAAGAAGCCAGCAGGAGCAACTGCAGAAGATGGCGATGGCGAGGAGGAGGCGGAGGCCCCGTGCAGCAAAAAGCCAGCGGCAGCCCCTGCAGCAGTGAAGTCGCCAGAGAGAGCACCAGAAGGCGCCGCCGGCGCCCCAGCAGCAGCGCCGCCAGCAGCGGCGCAGGACACGCGTTGAAAAATGTCTTACGGAGAAAAGGTGCAGGGGGGAGGAGGAGGGGCAGATCGGAGGAATGCGTAGGGGGAGGGGGAGTCCGGGTGCGGAGGGCGGGGGCTCAAGGGCTCAACGGCTGCATGGGGGCTCAACGGGGCGCGCGTTGATCCAGCGAGCTCTCACTTCGCCTCGGAGCGGCGGAGAGCAGGGGCTCAATGGATCAACGCCGCCATCGTTGAGCACCCATTGAGCCGTTGAGCCGTTGAGCCCGTATGCCAGGTAAGCTGGATTTGCGCCCCCGCCAGGATGAGGACTTCATGGACGAGGGCCCGCCTGGTGGCTTCATGATGAACGGGGCCCCTCCCATCTCATTCAATTCCTCCTCCTCCTCCTACTCCTCCTCCTCCTTCTCCTCCTCCCTCCTCCTATCCCTCCTCCCCTCTCCCCTCCCTCTCCCCTCCCCCTCCTCCTTCTCCTCCTCCTCCTCCTCCTCCTCCTCCTCCTCCTCCCTCCTTCTCTCCCTCTTCCTTCTTCCCCTCTCAGTCCTACTCATCATCTTTCCTTCTCCTTTCCCTCCTCCTCCCCCCCCTCTCCATCCGCTTCCTCCTCCTCCTCCTCCTCCGCCCCTCCTCCCCCCCCTCCTCGTCGAGGCCCAGGTGACGAGCAGCCCGATCAGCATCATGCTGGGTTTCACCAATGGCAGCTTTGGGTGATCCAGGCTCTGGGGGGCGGAGGTCGAATGAGGCTGGGGGGGCGAGGAAACAACGAGGCGGGATGTAAAACGGAGATGGGAGGGATGGAGGGAGGGAGGGAGGGCACGGATGGACGGGAGGAACGGGTAGAGAGGGAGGGAAGGAGGAGGGTAGAGGGCAGGGGGGAGGGAAGGTGGGGGAGGATTGGAGGGAAGGGAGGGAAGGGGGGCAGGGTAGGAGGGGGGAAGGGAGGAGGGAGGGGGGGGGAGGGGGGCTTCTAAACCCCAGACAGGCTCGCCACGGCCGCGGGCGCCGCGGCGCCGTCTGGAGCGACGAGGGCTGGAGGCGGTGTCCAAAGAGTCCTCCTCCCCCTCCTCCTCCTCCTCCTCCTCCTCCTCCTCCTTCTCTTCCTCCTCCTCCTCCTCCTTCTCCTCATCCTCCCTACCCTCCTCCTCCATTACCTCCCCCTCGTCCTCCTCGTCCTCCTCCTCCTCCTCCTCCTCCTCCCTATCCTCTTCCATTGCCCACCCCTCGTCCTCCTCCCTTTCCTGCGTTTATTTTAACCATTATCTACTCCTCCCTACCATCCAACCATTGCCCACTCCTCTACTCCACACTAGAAGTTTTAGACCCTCCCAGACCATCCATGAAAGGGCCGCCCTTTGCCCAGACCCCCCCGAACCCTCCGAGACAGCTCAAATCAGACCCCCCCCGAAATGAGAACCCACCTCCTTTTATTGCGAAGTCTGGAGTACCGTCCTCCGCAACAGCAAGGGCCCCCCACGAGGGCGCGAAGATATTCGCGCTTCGCGGTTCGCGGCCCTCATTCTCTCCCCCATGGGGGGGGGGGGGGGCGGCGCGAGAGAGCGAAGTTATTCGCGCTTCGCGCAGCGCGAAGCGCGAAGTTTGGAGCCACGGCAACAGCAACCATGCCACGCTGGCCGAAGCACTTTGGCCCATGCCGACAAAGCTGCAAGGGGTGCCCGTCCCGAAACGGGCGTGGTACACACCGCTCGGCCGCGCGTTCCGTCGCTCGGGAATGGCTGGTACGGCCGCGGCCCCGCCCGTCTCTTGTGCGACGGTTGCGGCCTCGTCGGATGCGGATCGCCAGGCAACTGAAAATCTTCGCCCCCACCCCCCCCACCCCTGGGGTCAGGATCCTGGCAGATCGGGGGTCGACATGGGGGCAGCGCAATGTTTCGCCCGCCTCCCAGGACAGCGGCGACGAGAGCAGCAGCGCCTGCGAGCCGCCCTGCGAGGTGCTGCGGGCCCACCCAGAGGACGCGGACGGCGTCCCCCAGGCTCGCCGTGCCCGCCGCCGCCGCCGCGCCGAGCCGCCGTCGTCGGCGACTGAGTCCGCGGAGGAGGACGAGCCCGCCGCCAAGGCCGAGGCAAACGCCGAGGCCGACGGCGACGCGGGCGCCACGGGTTCGGCAGGCGCGAGCCGCGCCGAGGCTGGCGCCGAGGCTGGCGCCAAGGCTGGCGCCGAGGCTGGCGCCGAGGCCGGCGCCGAGGCTGGCGCCGAGGCTGGCGCCAGGGCTGGCGCGAGGGCGGGCGCAGAGGTCGCCGCGTCGGAGAGGACCGACGAGACGGCGGTCGCCTGGCGCATGATGGGCTTGCCTGGCGAGCCGCCCCGCCATATTCCCGACAGCGACTACGTGGCCATGATGAAGGAGAAGTTCAAAAAGGAGGCGGCCGAGAGGGAGGCAGCCCAGGTGGCCCAGGTGCAGGCAGCCCAGGCGGAGGCAGCCGAGAACGAGGCGGCGGTGAAGGAGGCAGCCCAGAAGGAGGCAGCCGAGCAGGAGGCAGCCCAGGCGACGGCAGCCCAGGCGGAGGCAGGCAAGCAGGAGGCGGCGGCGAAGGAGGCAGCCCAGAGGGCAGCCGAGCAGGAGGCGGCGGCGAAGGAGGCAGCCCAGAGGGCAGCCGAGCAGGAGGCGGCGGCGAAGGATGCAGCCCAGAGGGCCGCCGCCCAGGCAGCGGAGCAGCCAGCGCAGGCTGCGCCCCAGCAGCAGCAGCAGCAGCAGCAGCAGCCGCAGGCTGTGCCCCAGCAGCAGCAGCAGCAGCAGCAGCAGCAGCAGCAGCCGCAGGCTGTGCCCCAGCAGCAGCAGCAGCCACCGCAGGCTGTGCCCCAGCAGCATCAGCCCTTCGAATTTGGCATGGACTTCTCCGACTTCTTCAACACCAGCGGCGGCGACGATCTCGACAATAAGCTAGCCTCGCAGGCGGCGAAGCTAGCAGCAGCTGTCGACGATGATGTGATGTGCAACGTGCTGGGCGAGATCTACAAGTCGCCTTCGTGGAGCTCCTACACGTCCACGGAGGCCGAGCTCGACGGGCAAGAGGTCGACCCCGACAACTGCACCATTGACGCCGACATGAAGGACGCAGAGTTTTGGGAGAGCGTGCGAGCCAAGAACTGGATGTTCAACGCGAGGGGCGCCGCGGGCAATGCCGCAGGTGGGGCGGAGCGAGAACGACGGGGATGGGAGGGGTGAGGGCGAGGAAGATGAGGAGGATGAGGAGGATGAGGGGGATGAGGGGGATGAGGAGGATGGAGGAGGGGGATGAGGAGGATGCGGATGATGAGGAGGATGAGGAGGTCGAGTCAGCAAAACCAATATGACACCACAGGTGGCCGCTGGCAACGGCGCATCACGGGGAAGGGCGCTCAGAGCAAGGCCGACAAGAAGGAGTGCGACAAGCTGAGCGGCAACCAGGACGCCCAGGCAAAGTTCAGGGCGCAGTGGCTCAAGAGCACCTTCAAGCATAAGATGCAGGAGAGGGTCCACACGAAGCAGTTCCGCAAGCGCGTCTACAAGGACGGCAGGTACCTGACAGCCAACAGGATCATCGTGGAGGAGGGCGGCGGCAAGCGCGGCTCCAGGAGCTGCGCCAACTACTGCCTCAAGTGTTTGGCCATCGGCGCGCCATTCGTCAGCGGGCGCGAATCCCTGCCACCGTCCACCCTCCCCCCCCGAACGGGGGGAGTGATGTGGCAGTGCCTTCTGCTCTCCCCCGTCCTCCCTCTCCTCCTTCTCCTTCTCCTCCTCCTCCTCCTCCTCCTCCTCCTCCTTCTCTTCCTCCTCCTCCTCCTCCCCCCGCCGCCCCCCCCCTTCTCCTCCTTGGCCCGCCCGTGGGGGCCCAAGAGGGTAGTAGTGATGCGCTTCTCTTTCAGGTCAAATATTGCAGCTGGCGCAAAGACCTCGTCTTCTTGTATTTCATCGAGGGCGTGGAGGAGGATTTCACGGAGGTCTGGGCGTTGACGAAGAAGTTCTTCGAACAGGCTGAGGGCCCCGCGCAGACCCGCGCGGCCGTGAGCAACCAGGAGAGCGACGCCGCGACGATCGATCTCTTTGACACCGCGCGCCAGCAGGGCAAGGCGGAGGATGAGGCGGCGCTGAAGCACGAGGAGGAGCGCCAGGCAACGGAGCAGGCGGCGCAGAGGCGCGAGGCAGAGGAGCAGGCGGCGCGGGAGGCGTCCAAGCGAACTGGCGCTGAGGACGCTAGCTCTGGCCCCCGCTCGAAGCGCGTGAAGAAGAGCGACGGCGGGGCAGGAGGTGCCCCTGGGGAGGAGCCTGCAGCCGCGCCAGGAACCGACGCCGCCCCCCACAAGAAGAAGGCGAAGAGGGAGCAGACGCCGCTCCAGAAGGCGATGGCCGAGGCGAAACTTGTGCTCCAGATGCACGGCCAGGTGACGGCGTCTGCAACTACCTTGAGCAATGCGATTGCCAAGGCGGATGCGAAGTGGGCCTTTGCCAATTCGCCCGAGGTGCTCGAGCCCTTCACCAAGGCGAACGACAAGCTGAGGAGGACGATCGACAGCAAGCCCGCCTTCGCGGAGTTCCTGCGCGCCCGCGACCTCGGCGAGCTCCAGGCAGTGGCAAAGAAGAAGGACGGCCTGAATGAGTTGCAGGCCGACCTGGAGTCGTTCGCCAAGCTGGTCAACCCGTGTTTGGAGGAGATCCAGCTCGAGACGAGGCCGCTGGTCAGCACGGCGGAGACGAGGGAGGAGGAGAAGGCCAAGGCGGCCGCGGCAAAGGCGGACAAGAACAACACGGTCCCCAAGAAGCCTCGCAAGAGCAAGGCGGCGACGGCGGAGTCGTGAGCATCGCCAAGGACTTGCACCGCAGTTCTGGGAGCCGAGTGGTCTCGTGTATATCGTGGCCTGCTGGGAGGCGCGGTGCCCTCTCGCCCCTATCCTCTTCCTCTTCCTCCTCCTCCTCATCATCTTCCTGCTGCTTATCTTTCTCCTTCTCCTCTCCCTCACCCTCGTCCTCAATTATGTGATGCCCCTCCTTCCTCCTCCTAAGACCTTTTCTGTTAAACTCCTTGTCCTTGTCCTGGTCCTCCTCCTCCTCCTCCCCCTCCACCTCCTCCTCCTCCTCCTCCTCCTCCTCCCCCTTACGCACCATCCCCGAGGAGAGGGGGGAGGAGGAGGAGAAACATGAGGGAGTAGGAAGTGGCAGGCAATATACCTCGTCGAGGGCCACGCGGCGAACTATCGAGTGCTGCAACTTTCACGCGCTCGCTGGGCTGGGGAGGCTCGGCGACTGTCGTCTAGGACAGGGGAATACTTGGAAACGCTGGCATCCCGTTCAAGCCTCTTGGATCCCTTGGACCCCTTGGAAGGTCCGAACCCGTTCGAACCCCTCGGATCCGTTGGAACCCCCTTGCACCCCCCTGAACTTGCTCCCATCTCAGACGGATCAAGGTGTCAACGAATCAACGGTCAACGATTTCTGGTATCGGGGCTTCGGCCCCCTCCGAACCCGTCCCAGACGTCCCAGACGGGTCAACGGGTCCACGGGTCAACGGGTCAACGGGTCAACGGGTCAACGGGCGCGCATGCCCGGCCCCGGCCGCCCTGGGCCCGGCCCCCGCCGTCCTGGACCAGCCAAACCGGGCTCAACGCTACCGTTGAGCCCCCCCCCCCGTTGACCCGTTGATCTTTGCAGGAAAACCATATATTTATAATCTTTGATTGTTATATCTCTCAATTCGGTGTGGCCCGCTTGTTGGTCTGTAACCATCTCGCTCAAGTCTTGAGGGCCGATGTGGCAGCAGCGTCTCCAGGACCTCGCTGCCAACGGTCTGCTAGCGTACCTCGGTCGGTGCCCAGCGGCTCCGACCTGCCCGACAGCCCCTCCTTGCCCGACGGCGCCATCGCTCACGTGCGGGTCCTGTCCGTCGTGCCCCGCCTGCCCGTCCTGCGTCTGCGGGCCGCAGGCGGCGCCGGCAGAGAGCCCGGCGCGGTGCCCGGCGGAGGCGGCTGCGCCTGACTGCCCGTGGGGCTACTGGCTGGCCGTGGGCGCGGTCATCGGCGTGTTGGTGGGCTGGGCCATCATCCTCTTCATCATCTTGCTGCGTGGACTGACCACGCGGGCTCTGAAGGCCCTTTCGCGATCTCCTTCGACATCTTCACCTGCATCGGCGCCGTTAGCACCAGCTACGCCTAAGAGTATTCGAGATGGATACGTTGGACATTCCAGAACCCCAGGTTCTGGTGCACTATCCAGATGACGCAGGAGGGCTTTTCTGGCACCAGCGCATTTTGGTCAAAAAGATAGCACCAGGGATTTGGATCGCTGCCACTCCCGACTTAGAACTCGTTCGTCACAATCTTTTGGAGCAGCGACATAAGGTTTTGGATCGCAATGCTATGTTCCCCGCCAACATTCGCGCACAGGTCTACGGCTTCGACCCTGTGCCGCGGGCAGACATCCTAGCTTTGAAGAGGCAGGCGGCGGTGCAGGCAGCAATTTTGGGAGACGGCGACGCCGACATGGAGATCGAGCATTTTGCCTGGGTGATCTCAGAGGCGGGCCACCTCCGCTTCGCGCAGACCCTGACCGACCAGGAGGTGGAGCAGGCCACGCTGGGGCAGACCAAGGGGGTCGCTCTAGTCAACGGCCTGGAGGTCTTCGTGGAGAAGATCGAGGCGGATCGCGCGAAGATCGAGAAGTGGAAGGCCGAACGTGAAGCTGGAGCAGGTGACCTACGCGTGCTGGGTGATCACCGCGACGCCTCAGGTCGTCGCCATCTCACTCTCACCGAGGGCGTCTCCATGATGAGGGAGACCCCATTCGAGGACTGGAACATGCCTGGACCTCGGATCGCAAAGGAGTGGCTTGTTTCTGTTCGAGATGGGCCGGGCGACCTGACCACCTACCATAGCCAGTGGATGCGACGCTCGGGCGTCGGAGAGGGCACAGCTGTGGCCCACATCCACTTCGTGATGTGCGAGATCGTGCGGCTGGCCATCCAGGTCGATCAGTTGGACGTCTCCAACCTGATGAGCTTCGAGCTCGCCATGCGGAGGATCTGCCAGGACGAGACGGCCGTTTCGCGCAACCCTCGCCACCCAGACTACGGCGGGCTCGACATTGTGCTGCACGCTCCGGTCTCGGAGCAGGGCCAGGCCAGCACGGACAGATTCACAGAGTGGGTCACTGCCCGCTTGAAGGAGCGCGCCTCGATCTACAAGCAGACTCGCCTCTGGAACGAGGAGCAGCGCGCCCTGCAGGCAGCCCGCACCTCGGTGGACCCCAGCAAGGGAAGCGGACGCGGCCGCGGGCGTGGCCGCGGCAAGGGCGGCAGGGACGACCAGGAGCAGGGAGGCTCGGGGTGACCGAGGATTTCCGGGCCGAGTCTGAACCCCGAGCTCGGCCCGGCGCGGTCTACAATGGTTAGGGGTCTGCCTTCCTGGTGGAGGCTCAAGGGTGGCTTGGGGTTCCGGAAAAGTGGGGGGGGGTGGGTTGGTGGGGGGGGGGGGGGGGGCGAGGGTCGGGGGGGGGTGGGGGGGGGGGGGGGGGGGGTGGGGGAGGGATGGGGGGTAGGGGGGAGAGGGGGTTGGGGTGGGGGGGGGGGGGGGGGGGTGGTGCGGGCGTGGGTGGGAATGGGTGGGGCGGGGCGTTGGCTTGGGGTGTGGGAGTTGCGGAGGGTTTTTTGGGTGGGTTTTTTTTTTTGTTTTTTTTTTATTTTTTATTTATTTTTTTTTATGTTTTTTTTTTTTCTTTTTCCTTTTTTTTTTTTTTATTTTTTTTTTTTCTTTTTGTTTTTATTGCAGGCAGTTTTTCGCCATCTCAGCTTTTTTTATTTTGCAAGATGGGTGGCAACTTCGAGCAGCAACAGCGGGCTTCTTTGGCACGGGCTTCGCTCAACCACCTCGCTGCTGCTCAGCCGAATTCAGATTCAGTTTTTCAGGCTCGCCAGCCAGCTCGGGCCCCTACCGCCGTTCAGGACTGGATTCTGGACAGCATCGTGGAGCGCGTCGACGCCGTGGGGCCCCCCCCGCCAGGCCTCACAGCCGAGGGGGCCGCGCGCGAGCTGCTGGCCTCGAAGGACCTGTATAGCCAGGAGCCGAAGCACCTAGCGCCGTTCGACCTGACAAAGCTCAAGGTTGCCAAGGGACGCGCCCGGCCGCGGTCTGTGGCCAACTTCCTACCTCCGTTGGCTGGGGAGATGATTCGGAACCCAGCGCAGTACATAGAGAAGGATGAGGGGGAGATGGAGTTCACACGTCAGACAACCGATCCCATCAAGCCTTACTGGGATCCAGTGCTTCGTTCTAGCCGACTGGAGCGATGGAGGCTGTTCCGAGTGCTGTACGAGCTGGGGCTCATCACGTTCAGGCCCCGACTTCGCGCTCGAGCCGCCTTATTTTTTGTGAAGAAAAAGAAGCCTGGCGAGATCAGAATGATAGTTGATGCGAGGCAGGCCAACGCCTGCCACCGTGCGCCTCCGACCACTCGCCTTGGGTCGGCAGGCGCCCTCGCGGACCTCGACTTCTCCGACGGGGACGGCTCTTTCGGCGGCGTCGGCAGCGTCGTCGGCTGGGACCCCCACGGGAACGAGGCGGACGTCGAGGATTGCTTCTATAACTTTTCAATAGACGGGCTGGCTGAGTGGTTCGGTTTCGACGACCCGCTGCTCGCTGCCACTATCAGGGACACCTACGGCATCAATATTGGCTCTTATTGGGACCCAGATCTCCACAGGATGGTTGCGGCGACTGACGACGTCGTGCTGTGCCCGTGCATGCGCGCCATGTGCATGGGCTGGTCTTGGGCTTTGTTTTTCGCGCAGGAAGCTGTATCAGCTATGACCTCCCGCGCCCTTCGGCCTTGCTCGACTCTGGAGCCGGCCATGGTGAGGGAGCACCTCCCAGCGCCTGACCTCAACGAGTCCGGGGTCATGGGCAGCGTCTACGTTGATAACATCACCGTCTTGGGTAAGACTGCCGCTGTGGCCCGTGAGGCCAGTGCCGCCCTTCGCGACGAGGCGGAGCGCTGTGGTCTCCCCATCACTTGGTCGTACCCCGACGTCGTCACCCATCTGGAGACGGCGGGGATCGAGCTTGATCTGAAGCAGGGGCGCCTACGCAACAAGGCCTCCCGAGTCTGGAGGTTCGACCTGGCCACCCGGGCGCTGCTGGCCCGGGGTAAGATGCGAGGTGAACACATGGAGGTCTGGTTGGGCCACGCGGTCTCCCTGCTGATGCTGGCCCGTCCAGGCTACGCTGCGCTGTCCGCCGTCTACCGGTTCGCGGAGGAGGCCTGGGGCATACGGACTGTCTTGCCTAGCGAGGTCAGACAGGAGATGCGCATCGTGGTCGGGCTGGTCTGGCTCGCGGAGGTCGACCTGGCAGCGCCCTACGTGCCGCGCGTGTACGCCAGCGACTCCGCCGACCACGGGTACGGGCTCATGTACAAGAGGGCCTCGCTCGGCGACCTGCGCTCGGCCTTCCGCTGGAAGGAGAAGTGGAGCTTCAAGCAGCACCTCCGAGGGCCGCGCGTGGGTCTTGTGCCTCCGACTGATGTTGCCGACATGGGGGGGTACGGCGACGTGATCGACCGGTCCCTGGACTATGAGATCGAGCCTCGCTGTCAGTCTTCCTCGCCCTGCAGCGGCACGGCGCCCGCGACCGCCTTCGGCCAGTGGCTGCAGCGCCGGGCGGAGGAAGGCTCGCCGTCGGCGGGGGCCCACCAGCCGCGCCGCCGCCGCCGGGAGTGCCACGCCTCTTGGCGTGAGGGCGATCTGGAGGTCCCGCCACTGCAGGCCGGACCTCTTGCGCCACCGCTCCCGGCCGCGTGGTGCGAACCCGAG